GAATATCTGTTTCAGTGATGAATGCACATTTTATCTAAATGGATTTGTTAATAAGCATAACTGCAGGTATTGGAGCAATGAAAATCCTCATGCTTTTGTAGAAACGTATACCCAGTACCCTCAAAAATTAATGCTAGATCTCCTGATTTGACGCCATTAGACTTTTTTCTATTGGGCCATTTGAAATCTATTGTGTTTACTCCCCAATGTGAAGGTTTGAATGAACTTCATCAACGCATCATCGAAAGGTGCCATGTCATCCCACAACATGTTTTTGAAAACGTCCGTCAGGAATTCGAATATCGCATATATCATTGTTTGGCCAATAACGGGCAACATTTTGAACTCTTATTGAAATAAAAAGTGATATTTTCGTGAGTTTTTGTTTTCTATTTGAACAAATTAAGATATATATATATAGATTTTTCTAATTTTCTTGAAAACGAATCGACCGATTTTGATAAAACGGCGAAATAAAATCCTTTAAAACAAGCTATTACTCGATACTGCTTGTCATTTAAAATGGTTTAACCCTGGGGGGTAGAGGGTGAAACGGGTTGAAGTAGTTTTTGGTTAAAAAACTGTCCCCCTTGACACATCTTTTGACGTGTCTCGGCGTTTTTGATGCTCCATTTATTTTTTGCGAAAAAGTACATTTGCGTTTTTGACCACTGTATTGATCACTCAAATTCGAAAAATAGACGAATTAGGCTAAAATCGAATGTAATAAAATATATTTGACCCAAAATGGACTAATCTAACTCTGCAAAGATAGCAGGAACGCGAACTATCAGACTATGTTTTTAAGATAAAATGCCCAAAAACTCAACAAATATTCATCAAAATTTATAAATATGTTATATCAATCTCTGTCTTTCAAAAAGGTCCATCCAAATATGTAAAAAAGTGGAGCATTCAAAAAAATATACTTTGACACGTGGGTCAAAATTGGGACACTCGGTATGACTATGAATATTTTAGAAATATGCCTCCAGATAGTCTACCACAATATTTGCATTTTTTCTTGTTCACATAACCGTCTACGTGAAAGTGGGCCTCGTCACTGAAAACAACGTTCTCGAATCTGCGCTGCGTAGGAAAAAGATTCAACTTCCGTTCAACACAAGATTTCCGTGATACGTAATTACTTTCCTTTGAAGCTTGGACTGACTGGATCTTTTAAGGATGAAAACCCATTTTTTTCCTTAATTATGCCATGCAGTATTGACTTAGGGATTTCCAAAGCAGCAGAATGCTTCCGTACAGAACCTCGAGGATTTACAATGACCGTATCGTTTACTCAGTATACAGTAAGGGGTGGGACCAGCAATGGGTTGACCAAGAGTAGAGCCTGTTTCACGGAACCTCTTAATCCACTTTTTCAACAGGTCCTTACTTGGGGCAACTCTTGGTCGAATGTTGTATCGTGTACAAAGTTGAATGAACCATTATTCTTAAAGTGAACCTCGATAGCAAAAGCGAAATGCATTGTGACTATTTAACCCGCACGCCGAGCGCGTCGATCAAGACCTCTCCCCACTTTGATTGATTTGAAATGTGAACTTTCCCACTAGTTTCTGGCACGCCTAAGCTTATGTTGCGACCTATTACATTTCCTAATGCTTCATCGTATTAATATTGGTCGTGGATGATTCATGATTTTACTGCCGTCCTTAAAATAAATTAGTGTCAGATACCCTTCCCAAACTGTCATGTATTAGTATTACCAAAAGCCTTTGTTCTGGATGACAATTCTATACCTGCAATTCAAGTGAGTGATATAGACGATTGTTGATTCACCTTTAGTCTAAGAAAATTAGACTGAAAATCGTCGATCAGATCGAATAATTCGTGTGGTTTTGAAAAATGGTAGAGATATGTGTCTGGATGAATATTTTAAAAGTTATCGACTGTGGGAGGTGAGTCAGCGGTAAGCTAGTAAAACTATGTTTATAATTCCTTTTACATTAATGATCTACATTAAATTTACAACACATCATGTCATATACATTTTTACTGTAGGATCAATACTTTAGGAGCTACACAGTGTCCTAGTTGAGAAAAATTAAAATAAGTGCATTTATAAAACGTACAAAACGCCCGACTGCATCAAGGCTAATTAAGGACACATAAATGTTAAAAAATAGCATGTCACTCATTTCTGTAAGCCTTTCAATCGGTTTGTTTCTCTGTTTGCTAGTTCTATAACTGCCTATCACTTGAGAAGTACGGCTCATATTTTGAAAATTTTTACACAACGTTACTAAATGTCAAGAACGAAACAGCTTGATAGTTTATTGAGAATTGGTCCAATGGCAGCGCATAAAAAGGCCAGAAACTAAAAAATAAAGATCGCTCAAACCTCTTCTGACGTTTGACTTCAGAGGATCCTCATCATTTTTAAAAATTTTTACCGGTAAAATATTTAGGGGTAGGGAAGGTTATATTACAATTTGTTGATGGTAGTATATTTATACGCTTCCAACCTTGGGAATTCTAAACACTTATCAGACATAATTCACACATAGATTTCCCCCAACATTAGCCTTCAAAACTTAGAAGTATTCTCGGCAGACGGATCGCGAGCCTAACGGCCGCGTCTGCTGCCACCAGCAGGGGGCTGATCCTAGTAAGTGTTCTGGTAGTACTGCCGGGCCATAGCATAGTGTTCCTTATGCTTTGGGCGCGGTGCCACTTTTGACAGGGTTAGGTATCAAATACCGATTGGACAGGTCTACGGAGAAAGTACTGCTCGGATTTGGATTGAACGTTTACACAAGGTTACTGTTATGCGAATGACGAAGAAGCTTTGTAGTTTTTGAAAATCGGTACTATGGCATTGGAGAAAAATGGCCGAACAAAAGGGAATTAAAATCGCTCAAACTTCTTTTTTTGACATTTCAGATGATCCGGATGACTCTTCAACAATCTTTTAGGGGTAAAAAACTAGGGGTGAGGTTTGTGGGGGGCAAAAATGTACTTGTTTTATACTCGTATTTATCAACTAAGATACCTTATAGCACCTAAAGGATTGGTCCTACATTAAAAACGGATGTCATAATTTGTAAATGTAGAAGGAATTATAAACATACAAAAAAGATTATCTTGGTTGAAGAGTGACTACCTTGAATTGAGTTTGATGTGTTAATAAAACATATTTCTTCTAATTGAGGTCCACCTCTTAATCATTGTAAGAGCTATATTTCTTTGAAACAATGAAATTACCCCTCTTCTAGTACTTGTAATTTCGAATCAATGTCATAATTACATATAAACTCGTGCATCCTCTTTAGTGTGAATTATTAAATAAATAATGCAAAAACCTAAAAAAAAGAACATCCCCTACCTTCGCTCACCTCCCACAGCGAGGACTTTCAGTATGTTCATCTGGACACCTCAAGGAATAGCTCTACCAATTTTCAAAGCTACACAAGTTTGATCTGATTACCTTAACTATATCAGGTTATTTCGTTTTCGACGAAAGTCATTTTCCATTAATATGCGAGGAAACTACAGCACTTCCAATTCCAGGTATTAAGTTTTTCAGACATTTTATGATACCTACATGACGGAAAGCCATATCAATCACCGCGTAAACTGAAAAACGGCTGAGGAACTTTCTGTACAATTAGGAGAGCGATATACTGTTAAACAGTGATGTCAAAATAAGGAAAACAGCAGATAATCTAAAATAGATATAGACTATGGACGTGGGTAAAATATCGCAAGGTCATACGAGTTGACTCCAATTGACTTTTGTTGGGTTGTCTGGAATAGCAAGCATTTGCCGTGTCATGCGTGTCGGGCTTCATACAAATTGTCATGCATTGGTTTTTTAGATAAAGAATTTTGAGAATACCTCAAACACAATCTGTTTTATTCTAATGTAGCATCTGTATTATGCGAGAGAATTCTGTTTCTCTGGTTAAATGAAACTACTGTTTGCAGACATGTGGGCCACCATGGTGGTCTTGTTTCTTTTCCTGTGCCTTAAATGGCCACCGTTATGGTCTAGATGTCAGAAGAAAGTAGTTACATCATATTTAGTTTGATTTGGCCTGAGAAACAAGGATTCCTATATGTTTGGTTGTTTCAAAACCGGTCAGGCATTATTGGAAAACCCTTCATAATATTTAAAGTAAGGAATCATCAAAATGTTATGTTAATACCTTGATCTATCCTACATAAAAATGCTGTACAACGAAGTTGTGAAGTTTGGAAAGAGACATCCAACAGTTACCTAGAACGCGACCTTGACCATGACCTTCACGGCATTTGAAAATACAGAAAGTTTTCTCAAATGAAAACACATATTTTTGACGCTGCAAACTTTTATGTTACGTCTATGCCCTTCCTCATGACCTTGACCGGGACCTTCAAGGTCATTTGAGGTAGCCTAGAAGAAAAGGACAAAATATCAGAGTCAGACTATTGACAACAGAAATATGAAGAGTATAAAATTGTATGTACTTGCACGCGACCTTGAGCTTGACCATGTACTTCATGGTTTTACGATGCTCCAGGATTTACTGGTACGCAAAATTACATTTCCGGAGACAAGTATGAGAGTTAAAAGAATAATTTGACAATTAACGGTTAAGGTGAACACGAAATTATAACATTGACCGTTTCACTTTTTCACTTCCTCGAAAAAAAATAGAGAGGCACTGAAACGTTTAGATAACCTTCGAATGACTAAAGCTCATGGTCAAGGTCATTGATAATGATACACTTGAACACAATGTTTTCCGCTCTCTACAACTCCGGTACCATGTAGGGGGTTTCAATGAAGCAAACTGCAATGACCTTGAAGTGACCCTTACGATCACGTTCGAGGTCACCATAAGATGACCTCTGTAAACCTCACAGCATTGTTCTACAACGTTTTTTCTGGAAACCATATCTTTAGAAACATTTCAATGTTTCTATACTTTTAGACCTCTATAATCGTATCCATGCCAAGTTTGTTCAACGAGTCTTATAATTTTATAAAAACTCACTCAAGAAATGGTGATCTTTCGGTCAAAGGTATTCTTGCAGCTGCATCGTAGTTCAAATCGTTCACAATCAACCAAACCATTTCCTGTGTCCAGGTCGTGCCTGAAAAAAATTAAAGAATATTTTTCCTTTAAGATATGAACACCGAGAATTTAAAAATATTGAGATGGAAAATTATCATCACAGCACTCAACGAACCAGACAGTTATTTACCAAACAGAAGCTGTACAAATTTTGAGTAAAACCAATCCAAATAGATATAATCGATTTATTTTTTGTCAAAATGTTTAAATGAATGGTAAATGACTTAGGAGGCTGTATAAGGGCTGCATTTAAACGTAAACACTCTTGCAGCTGCTAAGATTCACAGCAGTGCAAATTGCACTACATGAGCGAAACAACAAGCATAGCGTTCTCCACGCCTTCTCCACATTATTTGGCGATCATCAGGTGAATATCTCGTATAACGAAGATGTTATATACCTTTCTCCGCATGATATTTTCTGTTTGTAGATCCTTTGGGCTTGAAGTACCACAGCAAGTGGCTATAACCGGCCGCGTGGCTGTGGTTAGATGTCGCCTTGAAAATTCGAGGTCTTCTAGCCATGTTGTACTACAATGTGTAGGTTGGTTCTTGTTGTGGACTTCGTGTGTGATTTTTTTCCCTCTCCATCTTTGTTTCCTCAGGTTACACCCGTATCCGGATGTATGAGCATGTGTATCTACTTTTGTCGTTGCATATGTGCATTCATTTCGGGCCTGAAGGAGCCAACCAGCAGAAATACGTATCGCTCGGGTTACCTATCCTATTTTCTGCTCGAATCCACTTTCCTTCTTTTGCGGATTTTGACCATTATTTTCCTATTTTTTTTGTTATATATATATATATATATATACGATTGTCATTAGTTTCTTTGTACAATTTAAATTTTTGAAACAAAGGACAGCTTTTACGGCTTAACAGTTCCACCATCGCTCTGCTAGCTGGGTTATTTCAGTACCTGACCTTTGGGAGTATACGTATATTAAGGCTCGTCATTTTCACGTAGAGTTGTTTTAAGGGAAGGAATTTGCTGTAGGTAAGCGAAGTATGCCGGAGATTATATTCCTGCTCTGTAGGTGGTCGCATGCCATCTAAAAAGTATTTCCCCGGAGTCAGCAATCCACTTCATGTATCCTTAATGTCACCGGTGCACAGCTATGCAGCTTTCTTAGCGGAGCTGCTGATGGGAAATTGCAAAGGTATGATAAATTATACTGATTTCTCCAAAGACGAAACTAATATTTTTTTGCTAGAAAAACAGCAATCTGCTTCTGCAAGCGCTGTGCAATAAGCACGTTTTGGGAATAACCTAATAAAATACATAGAGAATCGATCCAATGAGTTTGCTTACAGGGCTTTTCAAAAAGCGTCTTATTTTTTAGACGAATCATATTGGCAATCTGAAATTTGGGGTAATGAAATTGATGCTCGAATACTAGATTTTACTGCAAAAGTGGCAGTTTAGAGTTTAAAGATGGTGGATGGGTGCCATGTTGGACCATTCATTGTGCAATGGAGGTTGTATGAGTACCTTATAATTCTAGAAGATAAAATAACCATCTTTGAAAATGGCGAGCTGGCAGGCTGTCAAAGGCTATAGGTGAAACTACATATAAAAGTATCTACATCTCGATCGAAATTAGGGAATATTGGGTCATATCACTCTAGCCAAATCTTCAGATCGTTAGCTCGCTCCTAAGGGCCTCACAATGCGTTTTTCCGAAAACTATTTGTTGCTGGTGCAATTTTGCTTAAAAAGTTTATAAGCTCTGATACTACATTGTTATATCCAAAATAACCGTGATTTTTTTATAAGTTTGTGTGAAGGTTCGACAAAATAATTCTTTGAATTTCTATTTTCGAAAATCTGGTTAGGTAATGAGAACTTAGCAAACAAATTCATTGTATATCAATGCTTTCTTGGGTTGCTCCCAGATCCACCAACAAAATCATTCATTTTTGCCTGGAAGTCGCGAAAAATCGAAAAATTGCATTTCCACCAGTTTTGTCAAAATTTGTAATAAAATATTCGATTTTAAAAAATGTAAAAAAGCCGTGAATTTTTATAAACTGATTTGTAAATCACCATCCGTCACCAAAATCGACCCCTTCGCAAAGCTGGTATTTATTGAGAATTGTTCGCACTTAATAGTCCAGTCACCACGCGACCTCTAGATGACTGACGAATCTGGCTATAAACTAGGTATGGTCTACTTGCAATTGAACAAACTAAACATGATGCTTTTGTCTGTCTGACCGAAAGACAGCCAACCATACAGGTAGATGGATCAAATCGGCATTATAGGAGCTATTTTACTTCTAATCGATAGCCAAAGATATAATAAAATCATTTTTGATCAGACTGGGATGGAGAACAAGATACTAAAATTTCGACATTTTGAAAGGGAGCCATTTTTCCTAAAAACACATAAAACGATATACTGTCGAATTTTTATGAGACATCCTATATGAAAAAGACATCCCATAAAGAGCTTAATATTAAATCCTATAACTTCTGCATAATAGTTTCTTTTTCAAAATGTTCTTTCAAGAAAGTTAGAAGGCTGTTCTCACAATGCTTTGCGATAACAGAATCATATTCATAATAGGATTCGTCTTACTACACAGTAATAACTACACCTTGACTACGCACAATTACTTTGAAAATTCATCTGTTGAGACTTAAGGCTACTAGGACTGGAGATAAAGTGAAGTGAGATTACACATAAAGCCATCCTGCAGTTGTCGGATGAAATGAGTTCCGGGAAACAACAGACCCTACAACTTGAAGGAGCATAGTAAGTCCAGATGTAGGAAATGAATTTAACACTAAGCGTCGCGTGAATTAGCTGCTAGCGTACAATTCCATTAAGCAAGCTAGCTAAATTGTTCTCTGAATAATTCGAGCAATCTATCTAAGTGCACTGGATGGACAAGCAAGCGTATACCAGATAACATAGAGAAGTGGGTCTACAGAATAACGCTTGTAGCTTAGCTACAATCAAAATGGCGGAGGTTTCATCGAAAATTTTGTGAATAGTATAGTCGATGTGATATATGAAAGCGCTTGAGTTATCACCGGACTTGACAACTTGAATTTTTGACTTTTATTGTTTATTCATACCGCTTCTTGTTATTTTTTTTTTTTAATTTTAAATGATCACCTGGAGTCTGGTTTGTCCTAAATTCTATCCAAACCTAATTTAGTCCGCTTGAAACAAACACGAGCTGTCCATCACCATTTTTGTTTGCTGTCGCTGCCTGCCCGGGCATTTAAGGTCCGATAGCCAACACAAGCGTGCTGATTTGAGTACACAACAGATCACTCACAATACAAGAGACCACGCAGAAAGCTTGTTGGGAGTGGTTTGCGCCTACAAGTAGCATCCGAGCTACAGGGCCACGGAGTGCGGCGAAGCATACCCGGTTTCAGTTTATTGTGGGTTTGGTGCACGATTTGTAATAGTTGTTTGACAGTTATTTATGTTTTTATCGACCCTACTAACCGGTCCATCAACATTGCAATTCACATTAACACAATAACATTTATTTTTCGAACTAATCTAACGTTTGTTTTGGGGATCTACCGCGATTTCAGCTTCACCACTCTTCGTTGAACAATTTGATTTGGTAGCACTGGACAGTTATGTGACTGGACAGCTGAGCTGACGAAGGACAGTATGGTTTCAAGTAAAGCGTGCCTCAATAAGTGCACCGGATTTGATTTTCAAGAAATACACAATTTCTTTTCTAATTAAGCGAGTATTTATATTTCAACATGAAGAGGAATAGTTGCGATTACACATGAAATAGAACACTCGGTAAAAGGCCACCACGAAACCTCTGGCACAGGGTCAGTCTTTTCTTTAAATACTGGATAACAATTTCGCACAAATGTGGCTCTATTTCGTCGATAACGCGCCGTATTTCTTCTTTAAGGCGATCAACTGCTTGTGGTTTGTTCGCATACACCTTTTCCTTCACATAGCTCCAGAAAAAGAAGTCCATTGGCATTAGGTAGCACAATCCTGGTGGTCAATTTTGATCGCCAAACCGACAGTTGACACAGTCTGGAGACCGTTGGAAGTAAATATCCTCCACATCAATTCGATCCAACCGGGGCCACAAAAACTCGGTTAACATTATGCAATACCGCACACCATTAACGGTTACCGCAGTTTCAGCTGCATTTTCGAAGAAATTCGATCCAATCACTCCGCCACTCCACAATGCGCACCAAACGGTAACTCACGGCGGATACATTGGTGGTTCGATTATTACACAAAGGTTTTCAGAACCCCAATTTGGACAGTTCTGCTTATTGATGTACCCGTTCAGTTGAAAATGTGCCTCATCAGAGAAAATGATTTTCTTCGAGAAATCCGCATTTGGTGGTGCTCCAGCGCCCAACCAACGAATTCACGGCGCTGCGCATCATCCGTTGGCTTGCGTCAGTTGAGCTTTGTACGCATGCAAGCACAGGTCTTTTGTCAAAATTCGTTGCAGAGTGGGTCTGGTAAGGTTCCATTCTTGGTCACGTTGCAGAATGGAAGTCCTGGATTCTCGGCCACGCTTTCCCACACTGCGACTATATTTTCGAGGGACCGACCAGGACGGCGACGAACAGTGACCTTTACACTCAGCAACGTGAATTTTGTCTCAAATTTTGTAATTAAACGGCGAAATCTCAACTCATTTGGCGCATTATTGCGACCGAAAATGATACGTAATTTGCGAACTGTTTCCTCGTAATTGTCTCCATTTTTGTAGTGTTTTCACAACAATTAAACGTTACTCGTTTAAATACTGCTCCATGACGACTAATCGCGTGGTCATCAAGTAAGCATCATACCATTTGTACAAAAAAAATGGCGGCAAATCCAAATCCGGCTCTCTTGTTGAGACACCCTTCATAATAAATATTTTCCTGTGTTCTTATATATGATTGATAATACTTTGCATAAATATCACCGCACACACAGAAGATATGTGTGCCAAACAGTAGTTCCTATATCTACAAATCACAGCATTAGACGGCAATTACATCGACACGATTCCA